ATTCTGAAGCTTTGTCTGACATACTTTGGGCATATTGCAAGGAGGGACTGGTCCTTGGAGAGGGACATCATGTTTGGGTGAATGGAAGGATGGTGCAGGAGAGGAAGACCCTCGGTGAGATGGATCGATTCTGTGAGTGGAGAGGTGGGAATGAGTGTGTTTGAAACAGTGAGGTTGGGAAGAACGGCGTTTAAGGCTCTTGTACATAGGGTCACTATGAGTCACAAGCGACTCGATGGACATAACAACAACAACAAAAAGGTCTTTTATATTCAGAAGTTTAGTCTTTTTCTCCGTAATTTTACTTTTGCAGTACTCTGAGTGAGAGATACACAAAGAAGTAGTGGGTAAACTGAATAATGCCTGTTTAGAGTTTTACCCCCAGTTCAATACTAAAAAGTTAAACAAATCTGGAAAAGAAGTTCTAAGAAATGTGCTGACAGGTTCTTTTGTAAGTTTCTTTCACCTAATTCATACACTCACTGCCATCTGGTGATGGTGATTCACAGTGACTCTCCACTAGGCTTCCAAGACTATAGATCTTAATGAGAGGAGATTGCCCATGTTTCTCCTGAGAAGTCACTGGTGGATTCAAACTGCCAGAGAGGTAACAACACTGTGGATTGTGCCATCAGACAGCCTTCATATAAGTAAGAAAATGGTCAAGGACAAAATGATGAAACTACGACACTAAAGAGAGGGAACTATATATTTGAATGGCACATAATGGAGGGAGAATCAATAGACATTTAATTAGTATTCCCGAAAAAGAGAGCAGAGTAAATATTACAGAAAAGCATATCTGAAGATGTTTTACTACAAAGTGTTTCTGAAATAAAGAAAGAGATGATTGAATATTAAAACAACGCAAACAGATATTGGAAAATACAGAACCACCACGAACAAGATTGCTTCTTATGTGAGTGCTGAGTTCCAGGGACGTAGATGAGACATGGGGTCCTTTTTTTTACATATCAGACAATGGGAGATCATTTTCATAAAGTGAAGAATTGGGGAAAATTCAACTTTGATTATACTGACTTGAAAAATCTTACTTAAAATGTAATCCTTTAAAATATTAACTGAGACGTGAACAGAGACATGTATGCCTACCTTCATAGAAGTGTTAATCACAAAAGCAAGAAAATAGAAACAGCCCAAATCCCATCAACAAATGAATAAATTGAGAAATTATGGTGCATTCATACAGTGGAATACTATGTAGCACTCAGGAACAACATTTTTGTAAAATACTATACAACATGGGAGAGTCTAGTGAACATTATGTTGAGTGAAATAAGTCTCTTAAGGACAAATACTGCATAAGACTATTGTAAAAATAGAAGAAAAACTGAGCAAGAGGTATATAAATGTTCAAAAGGAGAAGGCAAAAGAGAGATGAGGACAGAAAAAGGGGAAGGAGGGAAGTCACTAGGACTGCAGACATTAATGGACAAAAGGGAGCGTTGTGAGGAATAGGAAAGATTCAACGGGGACTTCAAAAGACCAGGCTTGTAAAACCTTCCTTAGTGATGAGGATGACCCAGGCAAATTTATATAAGATGTCATGATCAAATCTCCACTATAAAGTTGAAGAATTTATTTACTCCCCAGTTGTTGTTGTTGTGAAGTGCTGTCAAGTCGTAGGTGACTCATAGCGACCCTATGAACGAAAGTCCTCCACAGTTGTGTGAGTTTCATCCTTTCTCCATGTTTGTAGGGTTTCCCAAGGCAAGCCATTTATGGAAGTGGATGCCTTTCCTGCTTCCAAGCTTGTTTTAGCCGGGTACTCCCCAGTACTTTTTAAAAAATAAATGCATTTATTTATCATATTTTTTAAAAAGACCAGGTAAGAATAGGCATAGATCAATGATACTTAATTATATAAAATATAATCTGTATGAATAATTGTATAAAACAGTGTACATGAACAAAACACAATATAATAAAAATATTAGGAGAGGGGAGACATGTAATCCTAGTCAAACCATTTAAAAAAATCAAGCAAAGCCACACAGTCATAATGAATCAAGGTAGAAATAAAGAAAAAGAAGAAATAAAAAATAAATATAAAGGAAGAAATGAATGTTAAATTAAGAATAATGACCACATATAAAATTAATATTTACTTTTTTAACAAAAAAGTAACAGACAAAATTAGAACATTATTTTGTCAGATTTGGAAAAAGCGATGGTCCAAATAACAACAGTTGAAAACATACTGTTATATTTCTTTTCCATTGAGATGCCACAATTAGGTTTAATTAAAAATCCTTTACACATTTTTGAGAATGAAAATGTACAGAACAGATCATCTGGGATGCTAGACTGTACAAGGATTAATGTGGCATCAAGATTGGTGGAAGTTTCATCAATAACCTGTGTTATGCAGATGACACAACCCTGCCTGCTGAAACTGAGGAGGACCTGAACTACTTGCTGAAGAAGGTCAAGGACTGAAGCCTTCAGTATGGACTGAAGCTCAGTATCAAGAAAACAAAGATTCTCACCACTGGGCCAATTGGCAGCATCAATATAGTTGGTGAAGAGATTGAGATTGTTAACAGTTTCAGTTTTCTTGGCTCCATAGTTAGCACTCTTGGTACCAGCAGCCAGGAAATCAAGAGAAGACAAATTGCATTGGGAAAGTCAGCTGTCGGGGACCTCTCCAGAGTACTGAAGAACAACAACGTCTGGCTTAAGACTAAGGTGTGCCTGATTCAGGCCATAGTCTTTGCAATTGCATGCTATACATCAGAGAGCTGGACAATGAGTAGGGATGATAGAGAATTGATGCCTTTGAGCTGTGGTGCTGGAGAAGAGTGTTGAATATACCATGGACTGCTAGGAGAACAATACGTTTGTCCTGAAGAGGGTGAAACCAGGCTTCTTCTTGGAGTCAAGGATTCTGAATCTTCGTCTGACATAGTTTGGGCATGTTGCAAAAAGGAACCAGTCCTTGAAGAGGACCATCATGTTTGGAGGATTAGAGGAACAGTGCAAGAGATCATCGATGACATGGATGATTCAGTGATTGGGGTGGTGGAAGTAGGTGTATCAGACAGAGACAGTGAGGTTGGCACAGGATAGAGCAGGGTTTAGGGCTCTTATACATAGTGTCACTATGAGTCGCAATTGACTCAATGGCATATAACAACAACAGCAGAATGTATTGGGCTGCTAACCAAAACGTGGGCAGATTGAATCTACCATCTACACTGAGGAGGGTGGATAAACAGTCCTTGGGACTGTGAAGGAGGATCCTGAGGGGTCAGAACTAACTCGCTGACAGAAGGTTTTGGTCACCTCTTTTGAGAATTAAAGCAGTTACTCCACACCAATAGAAATGGAATAAGATAGCATATTTGGTGTACCCTTTAACCACAGTATCAGAACACAAAATTAACAGATATGGAGGATAATTCTAGAATCCTGAATATAAAGGGCAAAAATACTTCAAACACTGACTAATAGGAGAAGGTGAATGAAAACATCAATTAAGGAGACTTACAGACCTTTAAGTAGCGCATCTCAGCCATTTTGAATCGAGGTCTGGCTGACTCTGAACTTCCTTAGTTCACACTACATGCACCTACCCCATGTATCTGAAGACAAGAAAGGTACAATCTCCCACATTGTTACCCACATCGTCTCAGGAATCAGTGCTCCCCTGGCCTGTCCCAGCTCCTCCTCAGGCCAAGCCCTGACTATCTTGTATCTAACTCTGGGAGCATGTCCACAGCCCTACACTCAGACACTCCTTTGGGGAGTTGGCAGACTCCCCAAAGCTGGCAGTCTCATGCCTGATCTACAACAAGCTACAGAATTCGTGGGGGCATCACTTCTGACTGGGGTCCTTAGGCTCTCACTGGGTGCACTTAGTCATCACATGCCGCAGTCACATTTGGAATATGCACCCTCTATAGGATATGTTATCCTTGGGCATCTCAGATTGTCAAGGAGATGGGTTGAGTTGATGAGGATGGCTCAGGATAAGGCAGGTTTAGATCTAATGTTCATAAGGTTGCATGAGTCATACTCAACTTGACAGCACCTAATCACAACAGAAAAGACGAAATAGATAAAGGGGAAAATTAAAATTATTACAAACCCAGCAATTTGAAATTCTGAACATTAAGATTAAAATTCCAGAAGTAGTACATTGGAAGGACAAAAGAGCAGATTTGAAATAAGACACAGACTTAGTGCAATGGAGGACAAATTCCTCAATATTAATAGTTTTTTAATTTTTTTTATTTTATTATTTTTGTGTGCGTGTACCGTCAAATCAGATCTGACTGGTACAGGAGGAGATTGTCCCTCCTTCCCTGGCAAAGCATCTGGTGGATTTGAACTGTTCACCTCTGGGATTGTAGTTGCAGCTCCTTGCCACTAGGCCACCAGAGCTCCCCTAATATTAATCTTTTAAATGTGTACAAAGTGAGTAGCTTGTTCATATCCTCTGAAAGCTGGACCGTGAATAAAGATGACAGAAGAAGAATCAGTGCTCTTGAGTTTTGGTGCTGGAAAAGAAGACTAAATATCTCATGGACTAATAAACAAATTATGTCTTGGAGACGATTCAGGTAGGGTGCTATTTAGAGGGAAAGATAGTGAAACAACTTCTTGCATAATTTGGACATAATGTTAGGAGGAGCTGGTCCTTGGAAAAGGTCATCATGCTAGGAAGGGTAGAAGGTCAGTAAAGGAAGACCCTCAACAAGATGGATTAATATCGTGATTGAAACAGTGGGATCTAGTATGACAGAGATGATGAGGATGGCACAGGAGCGGGAACATTTCAGATATCCATTTTTCATATGGTCAGTGATTAGTACTTTACTCAATGGCACCTAACAACAACAACAACAACAGTTCATAAGTGGAACAATTAGTAAAAAGAACCTGAGAAAAATCAAGAAAGAAAATATGTATGTGGAACAACATCAAGAGAAATAACATGTGTAATGGAAATTGCTGAACAGGAAAAGCCCAGACTAAAACAAAATTCAGAGAGGAAATTATTGAAGGTTTGCTGGAAGACAATTTTCCAAACATGTAAAATAAGAAACTATGCATTCAAGAAGATTAATGAATGAGAGAGAGCTCTGGTGGCCTAGTGGCAAGAAGCTGTGCTTCAATCCCTAAGATGCACAGTTCTAATTCACCAGATGGTCTGCTGGAGAAGGAGGGGTAATCTCCTCCTGTGCCAATTAGATGTGATTCAATGGTATGCAACAAGAAAAAAAAAAGATAAAAAAATTTTAAAAGAAGAAGCTAAGTGAAGTCCAGAGAAGACTGACTGGAAAATAAAATCACCAAAATATAGCATAATTAAATGTTCCTAAATTAAAAGCAAACATAGTACAGAGGTAACTTGTGGTCGCTGTGAAGCTGAACACTGTGGCACTGATGTGAAATGCATTAATGGTTACCTATGGTGGACAGTGTCTGGTGGGGGTCCCCAATCAAAACAAACTTGGAAGCAGGAGTGGCATCCACTTCCATAAATAGCTTGCCTCTGGAAACCCTATAAACCTGGAGAAAGCATGAAAGTCACACAAGTGTCAAGGACTTTCATTCATAGAGTCACTATGAGTTGCCTACGACTTGACAGCACTTAACATAGAGATCAGTTGGCCTAGTTGACCGAAAGTGATGCTACCAAGCTAAAGGTGGATGACCCTAATCCACAACCCTCAGGCTTGTTTTTCAATGTTTCTGGTCAAACATTCTTCTAGGTCGTATAGCCCTGGTGTGTCCACTTGCCGTACAGAGGTAACTTGTGATTGCTGTGAAGCTGAACACTGTGACACTGATGTGTCAAATGCGATAATGGTTACCCATGGTGGACAGTATTTGGTGATGTTCCCCAATCAAAACAAGCTTGGAAGCAGGAGTGGCATCCACTTCTGAAATAGCTTGCCTCCAGAAACCTGTGAACCTGGAGAAACGATGAAACTCAAGCAAGTGTTGAGGACTTTTGTTCATACAGTCGCTATGAGTCACCTACGACTCAACAGCACTTAACAACAACAACAAACAAAAGCAAAGAATACTGAAAGCAACTTGGGAAAAGTAAAGTGTTTCCTACAAAGGCCCTGATTTCTTGGCAGAAACCATACTGGCAAGGAGAAAATGGAGAGATACATGGAACCACGAAAAAAAAAAATTACCAATTAAGAATTCTATACCCAGCAAAATTGTCCCTCAAATATGATGATGAAATTGGGACATTTCCAGAAAAATAGAAACTAAAGGAATTTTTGAAATCCTAAAGGGAAGAAATTCTTTGCACCTAGGGCCAACAAGGATGGGCAGTCTCCTCCCGAGTGATTGATTAACTGCCTCTGAAAACCTGCCAGAGAGTCAGCTAAGAGTCAGTTCTGACTTGACAGTACCCAACAACAAGAGCCACCAGTCTGAGATTAATGTACATGACAATATCACTCAGAAACTGACCCAGATACAGAAACACCCAAAGTAGAAGAAACATGAGACTAAAAATAAAAGCAAAGATGTATCAGTTGGTAAATGATGACAACTACAAAGCAAAAAAGGAGATTAAGAAGTATACTTACTTCTAAGTGGAGAGGAAGTCAAAGAGTTTTCAAGATAAAGGGAACTATTTTAGAGGTGGTGATAATACTAACTTTCAAGTAACAGCCAAGAAAATACATAAAGTGATAAAATTTAGAAACACTAAACAACAGCAATGAAGGAAATGATAAGAAAAGCCATAACCAAATTTGACTCAGCACAGAAATGAGATGGAACAAAGAACATCCTCTATAATACAAATGAGTGCAACATCAAACACTGCACAACAGGGATGCATCTAGAGGACATTGCTGAGCAAAACAAGTCACAAAGGGAGTGCTGTGCTGTAAGATTACAGAATGCTAAGGAAAGATTTGTACATAATTTGGACATGTTGCCAGGAGGAACTAGTCCTTGAAGAGGGACATCATGTTTGGGAGGGTGGAGAGACAGTGCAGGAGAGGAAGACCCCAGATGAGATGGATTGACTCTGTGACTGGGGTAATGGAGGTAGGTGTGTCAGAGACAGTGAAGTTAGCTCAAGATAGAGCAGGGTTTAGAATTGTACACAGAGTCGTTGTGAGTTGCTGGTGACTCAATAGCATATAACAACAATAATATCCTAGATAAGGGAGCTCTGGTGGCCTAGTGGTAAGAAGTAGGGCTATAATCCTGAAGGCATGTAGTTTGAGTCCACTAGCTGCTCTGTGGGACTAGGATGGACAATCTCCATCTGTGCCATTTATGCCACTAAAAACTCACCAGAAGGTCAATTAGGGGTCAGTACTGACTTTGTACACAACACCACCAAGAAAAGATTTACATACAGAATCAATTTTGAATAGTTACCAGGCTTGGGAAGCAAAGAATAGGGAATTACAAATTAGTAAATAGATAAGTTAAATAAGGCAAAAGCAATATATATAGATCATTGTATGTAATTAATTATATTGAAATGTTGTCATTAATGTTATAAAAATGTGTTTGAATGATCAAATGAAATTGTAATTACCATGTTATAAAATGTATATAACTAATTCAAGGAAAAACCAATATCGTTTATAAACTTTCCTTCAAATAGAAAATTTTAATTAATAAATAAAAATATAAAAAATAAGCCAAGGGATGTAGAGAGATTAGAAAACTGAATTGAAAAGTGTGATGAGTGTTTGGAGAAGAACTAAAAAAAATTTACAATATATTGCATTTGCAAGACAAAAGAAATGCACTGTTTAATTCTTTTTTTGTGAACTATAAGATAAAATGGATTATTTCTTTCCCAATGTTAAGATTTGGTCTTGTGGGTCTTTTTGGGTATGAGATGATGTATATATTTATTTACATGCTTACTCAAGGTAGGAGATAGGGAAATATATAAAATCCAACTCGACTCTTCAGATTACTCGCTTTGTAATTTTGTGGAAAAAACAAAAACCCCAAAACAATCTAGAATAAACAATTGAATTTTTTTTTTTTACTACTTGTTGTTGTTGTTACGTGCCGTTGAGTTGTAGACCACTCATAGTGACCCTGTGAACAAAAGACCTGAACACTTGTATAACTTTGGTCGTTTCTCCAGGTTCATAGAGTTTCGGGAGGCAAGCTATTTCGGAAGTGGATGCCACTCCTGCTTCCAAGCTTGTTTTAATAGGGGAGCTCCACCAGACACTGTCCACCATGGGTAACAATTACCACATTTGGCACATCTACTTGTGACATCCTAGCATTGTAGCATCTACATTACTACTTGTAATAAACAAAATTTTTTTTTTGTAGGGAGTTAGTTGTTTATCATCATCAACAACAGAATCTTCAGAGGAGTCATTAATTGGGAATTATGTAGGTCTTATCAACACGATTGCCCAGAAGTCAAAACTCTCTGTAAATTATGAATTGTGTTCAGTGAAGGAATCATGGGAGCTTCAGAACAGGTAAGATAGAGTTTAGGCTTCTCTTCTCCTTGCTTATATTTTAGTAACAAAGACTTATTTTCGTGGCCAATTTTCCAGAAATATTTGTCCCTTTTTGTACATTCTGTATGTTGTTATGTGCCATTAAATCACCTGTGACTCACAGTGACCATGTGTACAACAGCTCTGAACCCTGCACTATCCTGAGCCAGTCTCACTGTCTCTGACACACCTACCTTCATTACCCCTGTTACTGTGTCAATCCATCTCATTTGAGGTCTTCCTTACCTCACTGTAGCTCTACCCTTCCGAGCATGATGTCTTTCTCCAAGGACTGATCCCTTCTGGCCACGTGCCCAAAGTGTGTGAGATGGAGCTTCAAAATCCTTGCCTCCAAGGAAAACTTGATTTCACCTTCTCCAAACAGACTTACTTGTTTTCTTGGCAGTCCATGGTATGTTCAAGACTCTTTTCCAGCACCACAACTCAAAGGCAACAATTCTTCCATCATCCTTAGTCATTTTCCAGCTCTCTGAGGTAATTGCGAAGACCATGACCTGGATCAGGTGCATGTTAGTCTCTAGACTAACATCATTGCTCCTAACTTCTGGAGAAGTCCCTGACAGCTAACTTCCCCAATACAATTTGTCTTTTGATCTCCTGACTGCTGGTGCCAAGAGTGTTGATTGTGGATCTGAGCACTTTGTCATTGTTAACAGTCTCAATCTCTTCTCCACCTATCATGGTGCTGCCAGTTGGGCTAGTGATGACAACATTCTGTAAAGAACATTTTATATTATTTGTAAACAATTTAACTATATTTGTCAGTGATTTCACTTTATTGGATCCAAACTCATTATCCATGGAAGCAAGAGTCAATAAATCACATGATGTATTGCATTGGGAAAATCTGCTGTTAGGGATCTCCTTAAAGCACTATCGAGCAAGATGACAGTTTCAAGAGGAAGATGAACCTGATCCAAGTAATGGTGTTTTCAGTTGCTTCATATATTTGTGAAAGTTGGACTTGGAAAAGAAGATTGAAGAATTGATGCCCTTGAATTGTGCTACTGGCAAAGAGTATTGAATGTACCATGGACTGACAAAAGAACAACAACAACAACAACAACAGCAAATTTGTCTGTAACGGGGTGTAGCCTGTGTGAATCTTAGAGGCAAGGATGGTGAGACTTCTCACATAACTGTGGGCATATTATTAGAAAGGACCAGACTTTGGACAAGGACATCATGCTTGGAAAAGCAAAGGATCAGCAAAAAAGAGGACAAGCCTCAACAAGATGGATTAACACAGTAACTACAAGTGGTGGCACAAGATTGAGCAAGGTTTCAATCTGTTGTACATGAGATTGCTATGAGGCAGTGTATTGGAGGTGTTTTAGCAACAACAGCAGTTTGTTAGCCATCCTACTGAAGGATTGACTTGTAAATGTATCTATTAATTTAATGTTAATGTCTGATTATTTTTATTTTTCTCTTCCAAACAATAAGCAAAATTTACTAGTTCTGATTGTGAGAAATATACTGTCCTTTAATTTTCCTAGATATCAGTGTAAATGTCGGGTTGGAACAAAAGAATTTGGTGCTGCTACTGGCCCTAGTAAACAAGAGGCAAAACAACTCGCTGCTAAACTTGCATATGAGACAATAATGGAATCAACATCAGTGGTAGGAACCATGGTTGGGATTTGTTTTTACATTGTGGGATTTCTTTGGAAGTTGATTACATGATGCTAGGATGACACATTATACATTAAATGATTCCTCCATTTCTCATTCTGTGAGAGACGGATTAATGTTCTCAGGACACCTCAGTGTTGCTTCTTCAAGCTCAATCAAGCAGCTGTACAGAATGTATTTTCTTACCATTCTTTTTAGTGATTGATGGTTTGGTAAATTTAGGAAAAGGAATATGGTAGCCAGTATGTGATAAACCACTGTGGAGAAATAATTTTGATTTATTTAAATACTTAGAAAGCTGACCCAGCATCCTCTGCTCCTCACATTTCTGAGTCCAATGGCGTCAGCAGCGTGCCTGTGAATAATACTTGGTAAGTATGGATAAACACTTGTGATATTAAAAACATTCAAGTTACTGCCTGGAGCTGGTTGGGGTTTGTTTTGTTTTGTTTTTTTATGAAAATGTTTGATGTTCAAAGATAACATAGAGAAAGAAATTCCTGATTCATATTCTAACAGTGGACAGAGTTCATAACCTAACAAGTTTCCCTTTTTGTTTCTAGCTCTGCTGAATTATCAACATATTCATTTGGAGACATGCAGAGCAGTGACGCTTTGAAAGAGTCCTCGTCTCCTGGGGTACTGTATTTGTCTCTAAGATCTCTAGTTAACATTGTTTTTTTAATCATTTAAAAATGCTCTCTAGTATTCAGTGCTATTTAAATGTTCTTATCTTCTGTAAGAACAGTATTTAGCAGCCTTTTTATCCTTTCTGTCTTCTTTGTTGTTGTTGTTGTTGTTGTTATGTGCCATCGAGTTGCTTGTGACTCATAGTGACCCTATGTACAACAGCTCTATACTCTGTCCTGTGCCACTCTCATTGTCTCTGACACACTCATCGTGATTACCCCAGTCACCGAATCAATCCACCTCCCAGAGGGCCTTTCCCTCCTGCACCTGCCCTCCACCCTCCCAAGCATGATGTCCTTCTCCAAGGACCGGTCCCTCCTTACAACATGTACAAAGTATGTTAGACGAAGCCTCAGAATCCTTGCCTCCAAGGAGCCGCCCGGTTTAACCCTCTCCAGGATGAATCTGTTTGTTTTCTTAGCAGTCCATGGTACCCTCAACACTCTTCTCCAACACCAAAGCTCAAAAGCATCAATTCTCCTTCTATCCTCCCTGGTCATTGTCCAGCTCTCTGATGCATAACAAATGATTGCAAAGACCATTGCCTGTGCCAGATGCACCTTAGTTTCCAGAGACAAACCGTTGCTAATCAGTACTTTAGAGAGGTCCCTAACAGCACTGACCTCGTTTAACATGCACAGTTCTTTCATGCATCCCTCCCATTCCCTCTCTATTCATTTTGGTTTTGTATATTGCGATGATCTTGCTTTCTTTTCCATCACCAGTGTTTGTCTGAAGATTGATTCATTCATACAACTCTATTTTTTTATTTTATTATTTTTTGTGCATGTACCATCAAATCAGATCTGACTGGTCCAGGAGGAAATTGTCCCTCTTTCTCCGGCAGAGCATCTGGTGGATTCAAACCATGTACCTTTGAAATTGACAACTCTACTTTTTTATGAAACACTTTTACAAATTATTATTTTAGTGAAAGTATTCAGAAAGGTTGAGTTTTCATTCATCAATTTCCATTTTTCTCTCTTCCCCCCTCATAATTGACTTTTTTCTTTTTAAAATACCATACTTAAAAAAAAAATAAAATACTGTACTTAAAATACCAACTACATTTAAAAATCATATCACTTGTATGATGATAATGTTATAGAAGCATCCCGTTTATACAGAACTACAAATCATTAAGAGAGAGGTAAGTAATTCAGTAGGAAAATGTGAATATACAAAAGATTTGAACAGGCAGTTTAGAGAAGAGTTATCTAAAGACACAACAAACATGAAATATATGTTATCTCACTAGGATCAGGAAGTAAAAACCAATTAGGTACCATTTGAAGTCCATCAGATTGGCAAACTATAAGGCTTGCATATGGAAAGGACACAGCAATGTATATATATTCTCCAAAGAAATGAAAACAAGGACACAAGCAAATATTTGTGCACTGTTTGTTGGAACATTATTCATTCATAGTCGTCAAGAGATGGAAACAACCTTACTGCTCATCAGCATATGAATGGATAAACAGAATGCAGCATTTATACAATGGAGTATTATTCAGCCATAAAGAGAAGTAAAATTTTCTTATATGCCATGACTTGAATCAACTTCGAAAACATATTGAATGAAACAGATCAGCCATGAAAGGACAAGTATTATATGATCCTTCTTGAATTAAATGTCTAGGCAAATGCATAGAGACAAAAGTCCACTAGTGGTTACAAGGAACTGTGAGATGGAGAGGGAGCTCTGGTGTTCTAGTGCGTAAGGAGTTGCACTGCCAAACCAAAGGAAGGCAGTTCAAATCCACCACCTGCTCCACACGGAAAAGATGGGCAGTCTCCTACTGTGCATTTTACTGCCCCTGAACCCCCTAGAGGGTCATCTTTAAGTCAATTTTTACTTGATGGCAATGAATTTGAGTTTTGAGGAGGCAGAGAGAGTGGCAAGTTATTGTTTATAACCACTGAGTTTATATTTTGGATAATGAAAACATCTTAAAAATAAGTGTTGATGATGGTACGTTGTGAATGTAACTAATGTCCCTGTATTGTACTTTTCAAAAGGGTTAAAAATGGCAAATTTATGTGCTATATAATTTGTTAAGTGCCATTGAGTTGAATACGACTCATAGCGACCCTGTGAACCAAAGATCTGAACCCTGTTCTATAACTATTATAATTTCTCTAATGTTCGTAGAGTTTACAAAGGCATGCACATGTTTAGGAAGTGGATGCTAATCCTGCTATATAATTTACAATGATAATTTAAAAATAATTGATGCATTATAATACTAAGTGTTGGCAGAGCTGTGCTCCAGTGATTTGGTGTAAACATTTTTTCCCCCTAAGTATAGATGATTTTTATTTTCTCAAAAATCAGAAGTTAGCAAGCATTTTTTTCTGAAAAGGTCAAGTAAGAAATCTTTTATTTGGAGAACAATTTCATAATATGTTAAGTGTGTGCGTACTGTGTCACCAAGCAGGATTGTGTTCTGAAAGAAATCCTGGCATGTGTGTCTAGAAAAATACGCAGAAGAATGTTCTTCCTAACACCAGTGGGAATTTATTCCTGTGTGACAGGGGCAAAAGGGAAAATACTAGCCACTAACTGGAGAATGTCTAAATTAATCATATTATAATATGACACTGAAGCTGCCAAATGATATGAGATTTTACTGCAAAGTTTTTGTCTGATGCTTTCCTTTCCATACCAGTGTAATTGCTGAGAAATCCAAAAGCCCACCAGAACACAAGGAAGTACAAGTGAGAAATAGTGAAAGGGATGATCATGTTTTCTAAATTTTGAGGGCTATCAATGAAAGGTTGCTTTGGGTGCCTAGTCCATGGGAGTTATGTTGCCCTGCTGACTCAAAGATTGTGCCCGTTGGGTGATTCGAATCCACCAGTGCACCTCTGAAACAAAGACAGGCAGTCTCCTCCCCTGCATTTCACTGCCTCAAACCCCTAGTCGGTGGGGTTTATGCCAGATTCTGGTCCTCCACTTATAGCTTAATTAGCACTGGAATAAATCTGATACACTCTATTACTGAGAACAACTAACCTAGGAGATCACCAGGGATCCTCAAAGCTCTTATTCTATCTGGAGAACCAGTGCTTCCGCAGACCATTTCTCACAATTCCCTTTTTTTTTTGTCCCTCCTGCCATGTGTGTCTGTTGTTACAATACATGAGTGCAAATACAGTGTAAAGTGACAAGCAGGACATGATGAAACTGTTCATCTTTTTAAAATTTTTTTTTATTCTATTAGGTTTTGTGGGGTTTTTTTTTTACAAAATTTGAATACATTGTTTTCCAGAACAGATTCTTCCTAATTTCCTCATCCTTCCCCCATCAAGTTGTATAACTGAGTGATTAATCTTCCCTTCCCTTGCACATCCTCATCCCTCTGCTTCCAGCCCCTCCCCTTGGATCTTTATACTCATTCTACAGTAATGGTTTTATACAATATTTGTCCTTATGGGACTGAGTTAGTTCACTCAGCATAATACTCTCCAGTCCCTCCCCAGTTAGGTAATAATTTACAAAATCATTGCTCCTGCATGCTGCATAGAATTCCATTATGTGAATGTACCGTAGTTTCCCAATCCATTTGTTTGTGGTTGGACATTTGGGCTGTTTCCATGCTCTTGTGATGGTGAATAACGCTGCTGTGAATATTGGTGTGCAAATCTTCATCTGTGCTTCAGTACTCATATTCTCAGGGTATATTCAAGTAGTGGAATAGCTGGGTCATACGGAATATCTATGTTCAGTTTTTTGAGGAAACGCCAAACTGCCTTCCAGAAGGTTGTACCATTTTACGATCCCACAAACAATGTATAAGAGTTCCTTTCTTGCCACATCCTCTCCAACATTTATAACTTTTTGCCCTGTTGTTTTGTTTATTTGTGTGTGTGTGTGTGTGTGTGTGTGTGTGTGTGTACCATCAAATCAGATCTGACTGGTACAGGAAGAGATTGTCCCTCCTTCCCCAGCAGAGTATCTGGTGGATTTGAACCACGTATCTCTGGCATGGCAGTTCAGCTTCTTGCCACTAGGCCACCAGAGATCCCACTTGCTGCCCTGTTAAACTTTGCCACTGTTACTGGAGTGAGATGGTACCTCATTGTGATTTTGATTTACATCTCTTGGGTCTCCACCAGAAAAAGACTGATAACCCAATTACAAATTAGGCAAGAGAAATGGAAAGAATTTTCACAGAGGAATATATTCAAATGGCAAACAGACACATGAAATGCTCAAAATCACTGAAACTCTTCGTCTTATGAACAAGGACAAATGGCCATAGCACCACCTAGAGGTGAAAGAGGGGAGACACTTCCTTAGCAAATTGGTAATTGGTTTCATTACCTGAACTAAAATCTTCACTTTCTTTTACTATAGAGCGGTTTCAGAAGTAATCAAAGGAAAGCAAAAAGGTGAGTACCATTATGTATTGAACATATTTTTAAGTCAAGTTTAACTTTAGATAGTCTGTTAATCTTATTTAATAAGTCATCATTATTTATAGAGTATTGCATATTCTTATTTGAATGGATTTTCAGAATAAGTAGAGAACATAGTAAAGGCTCACAAAAAGCTTGAACTCTCCAAACAGACAGAATTAAGTGTGTTGGAGAAATATTTGAATGCATGCATACTCTAAACTATAGACATAAAATACTGTGCCAGTACTGCTACAGAATTGGTCAAATGCATTACATTTGATAAGATTCTCAGAGGAAATGGTTTGGAGAGCTGGTTACAAAAGTAGTGCATTGTTTACAGACAAGTAGGTGGAGTATAAATGATCTAGAATGCAGATTATTTTTTAGAAGACCAAATAAATCATGTAAATTATGACAGATTTTCTTTAGCTGAAGAGGAAAAAGTCAAGATCTATTCTCAGATCTCCGTGGGAGATGGTAGGAGGAACCCTTTCGAATGACAGTATTTCAGTGAGAGGGTGAAGAAGTAGAGGAGAAAGGAGGTGAGGATTGTGTCTGTTCTTGGTAGGATACAGAAGGGATTGTGGCCCAGGTGGTGCTAAGGACGTTGAAGACTAGTGGATACAGAGAGGAGAACAATTTGGATTTGTTTACTTTCAGGAAAAGGCTAAGCTTACACTTGCAGGGGGCTTGTCTCCACTAAGAAATGAAATACAAAAAGAACAAATAGAGAGAACTCTGGTGGCCTAGTGGCAAGAAGCTGTGCTCCAAACCTGACAGAGCGCGGGTCGAATTCAAGGCCCATACTTTTTTAATGGAAGCGGCTGGCCACATCTTTCTATAGCAGATTCAAACTGCCGACCTCTGAGTGAGCAGCCAAGTAGCTACTCAATCACTAAGGCTGATTAGTAATTGATTAAAAATCGAACAAGTCATATGTTTGTGATTCACCACTGTTGTTGTTAGTAACTATCAAGTTCATTCTGATTCATGGTGACTCTGCAGTTGAAAGTCTTCATAAGGTTCCCATGGAAGCAGACACCAAACTTATCTGTCAAAGCACCTCTGAGTGGTTCTCACTTCCAACCTGTGGGCTGTTGTTGTTGTTATGTATTGTCAAGTCCAACTGGCCCAGAGCTGACCTTCCAGCAGATTTTCAGAGACAATAAATTGCATTGAAGGAGATTACCCATCTTTTTTTCCCAAAGGGAAGCTGGTAAAATCGAACCACATATCTTTATGTTGGAACTGCAGTTATATTTTATATCAGTTTTATTTTACTTTTACCTTTTTTCTCTCCGTTACTTTTTAGAGCTTTGGCACCTAGATTTAGTTGTCTTGAAGAAGAAGCAGTAAAATACAAAGAGTATACTTTGGACTTCCGGTAAGAAGGAACTGGAAAATGGAATTTGCTTAAAGATATATTGTTCACATTGTAATTAGTTAATTATATTGATGGTGCTGGAGAAGAGTCTTGAACATACCATGGACTGTCAAGAAAACAAATAGGTCTGTCTTGGAGAGGGTGAAACCAAGTCTCCTTGGAGGCTAGAATTTTGAAGCTCGTCTTACATACTTTGGGCAGGTGGCAAGGAAAGATCAGTCCTTGGAGAAGAAAATCATGCTCAGAAGGGTAGATGGACAGCGCAGGAGAGAGAGAGACCCCATATGAGCTGGATTGATAGAATAAATGGGGCAATGGGGGTTGGTGTGTCAGAATTAGTGAGACTGGCTCGGGACAGGGAACGGTTCAGAACTGCTGTGCATAGGGTCGCAGGGGACTTGACGGCACATAACAACAACAACAACAACAACGTAATTAATATTATAAAACTGTATGACTGATAGGATGAAATTGTTACTACAATATTATGAAGCAATATATATGAATGATAGATTGAAAAAATCAATATGATTTGTAAAATTTCTCTCATATAGAAAAAACATTAAGAATTAGAGGCGTTATCTGTATGTTCACCATAATGCTTCTTAAGGATCTCAGGCTGTTTCTATCTGAACAGTTTGTTTTATCACCGTTAGGCCCCAGAAGGATCGTTGCCTTTTAGAACAGTAAGGTTGTTGTTAGGTGGTGTGACTCAGTGCTGGCTTGGTAACTCTATGTACAATGACTCTGAATAGCAGAATGAGTCACTGCCTATAAGAAGTTTGCTATATTTGAGGCCATTCCTAGAGCCACTGTGCTGGTCCAGAGGGTCTTCCTTTGTTCTGAGTGAAATGTGGTGCATGTACATTCATACAATGGTTTTGCAGTTCTCTGTAGCCTTTGTGTCTAATACTGAAAACAAACGCATTGGAAAACAGTGATTTCCCAACAGTGAGGTGGTGGGCGCCTTGGGAAGGAGGCAAAGAAGTGTGAAGGGATGTTGGTTTGGACTTTGCAGCCCTGTCAGAATCAAAATGACGCACTTGAATCTGTTTTCCAGTTTCTAGCACCATACCAGATATCAGTTAAATAAAAGATTTCTTGACTGTAGATCATAGAAAAGAAATACCTTTTTAAAAAAATAAAGGCCTATATACAGCAAACATGGGGAGAGGGAATGGGGGACACTATTGAATGCATGTTTAAAAACTGATAAATGCTACAACAAGGAGAAGATAACATAGATGAATGGGACCTTCTAAGACTCAAATCCCTATGCACATCCAAAAACTTCTCCAGTAGGGTA